ATTCGCAATGCACAGTCCAATAGGCGTTTTACACAGCGTAGGCTCGCCTCCCGAAAACGCTCGGGGATGTTACGAGGCCGAAAGGCAGGCAATTGTGCTTGAAGGCTTTGCTGGGATCCCGAGGGTCCAGAAAGCATAGGAATCCGCGTTCGCTCGATTCCACACTAATAAATCTGAACGCTGATACTATGTCCCATTCTAACAACCAAACTTGGCTATCCTCATCTCCAACACTAGGGGTTGGTCGCGGGACATTAGCCAATAGGTCGTAAACATCCCGGAACCTAGGAAGGCAGCGGGTTGTTTTCAGTTCACGGACAGTACCGTCTTCGCCTTTGCTTTCGAGTAGAGCTCCAGTACGTACGGTAATATTGATACCACTCCTCCTGAAGTCGTCCAATTGTCGGATGGCTTTAAATTCCTTCCCGTTTTTCACATCACATGAACTTTCGACAACGCCTTGCAGTCTGGACTCGTCGGATTAATCTCTGATAACCGGCCTAGCCGAAGCTCCTTCGCTATGAGCTCTTCGAACAGCCTATACATATCTGGAGGAATGCTGCCCTGCGGCCAGTCGCGTAGCCTCAGCTCCTCGAGTTTCTCGCCAGGCCACCGCACGAAGGACGGCTCATCCTTCTTTGGTTTGCCAAACTTGTCAGTATCGATTGCTGGCCATTCCGCATTTACTGAACCGGGATCAAGATGCCAATTGGTGCTCCCTCAGCTACCATCCGGCAGATATCCGCGTCTTCACCGGGCGACTCCGTCGTTGCTCCTTTACCAGGGGCCATACTGAGGCAGAGCTCTTCTAGCAGTCTAGCGCGTAGAGGGGACGGGGGGGGGGCGGCCAGCTCTCCCAGCTCCGATTTATTGATGTCCTTCGCGACCGAGATGAAAGTGGTCAAGTCCTCAAGGAGATCATTGGCCACACTATTGAGGGAAGCTCCGTCATTGGCGTTCCACTCCACACTCATCGCGGATTGCTCTTCCCGAGAGCTGGCAAAGAAACGATCTACGAAGTCCTTCGGGCCGCACAGAACCTCTCTGTGTGCTTAATTAGAGTCCCAGAAGTACTCTCTATTAATGGCAGCTCAGATTCTCGAAACTCGAACTTGTCCCACTGCCCTGAGTACCCGGAGCCATCTCGAGGCTGTCCCTCCACCGCTGCGGCTGATAATTCCTGGGTCGCCGCCTTCCAAGGGTGATCTTCAGGCTTGCTTCCCAACTCTCTGCCCCGATCTCGCTGTTTCTTCGCTTGGGTAGACCTCACGTGTGGCATTTCCCAAAGAAGAGTCTCTTTGTTAAGTGGGAACCAAACTGAACGACAGTCGTTCCGAGAACGATGTTTCCTCCGTCCCATTTATGGTGTTATGACCACTAGGAACGGCACTGACGCAACGCAACAGCCACCAGTTTTGACTACGTGATAATCAAACTTCGGAAAATGGCGGAAACTCAACTTCAACAGTGTTGGATTGGCACCAAACCAATGCCGCAGCTATTGGTCCTTAGGGTTCTTCCTTGATCGTTCATCCTTCACCTGCCCAGTCCTAGGGCGTTTATCAGACCCGAAGCTACTGTCCTTCTCCCCACCTTGACCGTTCTGCCAATAAGGCTTAGATTGGGGGTCGCCGAAATGTTTACGATAACGGCAATCCCTACCGAAGGGACAGGATTGGCGAGTGAAACGGCAAGTGTCAGCACCGAAGTGCATAGCGCTCCCTTGCCTACGTATACCCTTGCCCGAAGGTGGCCTCGGTATGCCAGATTGGCTCACCGCCGGTTTAGCCAAGGCTACAGCTATCAACTCGTGAGACTCATAGGATCTTAAATAGGTACCGAGGGCAGAGTCGACTTGGAGAGAAGGGTCAGTGTCCCGCAGGCGGGTGACCCCTTGTGGCAAGGCCAGCCTGTAACCCTTATCACACTCGACTGCTGCCTCGAACGATCGTGACCTCGCTAACCAGAGCAACCGGCTCAGATAAGCAACCGTGCCTTCCTCAGCTTCGAGAAGATCTCGACCACGACGACACCACCACCACCACCATAGTTTTTGTTGGAACCGACGACTTCGCTGGCAGTACCGGGACTTTTGGTGGATGAGCTGGCAGACTTCGCATCGGCTACCTCCGTCATAGTGGTTGTTTCGGACTCTCCGTCGAGTCCCCCATATGCACACCTTCTCAATAGTTCGTCGGTCAGCTCCTTGTCCTCCAGGGCCGCCTCGAGCACACCCACAGTACTAATACCCATGTCGACACAAACAGTCGACGCTTTCTTAGCCAAGTCGGGGAAAACTTCGCGGAAGAGGTCGGGCGTGCTGGACGTGGTAGACATATAAAACAATCTGCGACCAGCTCACGTAAATACATGCGTCATACAAATACGTAGCATGACCCAATACTCGTCTAGCTGAATTCTGTGGCGGAGTTTCTGCCTAGCCTGGCACGCTAAGCTAAGGTCCTCAGCTCGGGCACCGAGCCTCGGTGGAGAACACAGTGTCGCAGTCACTGTCTCTAGGGCAACGAGAGATTGAGCGGACACGGACTCCGTGTCACGGAGGCAAGTCGACGAGTGGTCAGCCACGCGAGGCGGCCGTCCTAAACTCGTAGAGCCACTCTAGCCCGATCAACTCTGGGTATCAGCTTGGTCTAACCCCGAGACAGAGACGCACAGAACCCAGGTCTCATGATGAAACTAACATCCCGCCGGGATGATCCCGGCAGGGCTACTACTCGAGACCACCTCGAGAGTCACGACAGCTTCCGCTTGTCGTTCTTTACCCCACCATCCAGCCACTAAGGGAGTGACTCAATCATGGTGTCGACCATGTGATATTGTTATCAACAATTCGTTGACGTCCCAATGGTTCGGACCCTACGCCATAGGTCGGTGCTGTAGGGATAGCGATCCCAGCCTATATTTGACCTGCCACTTCAGGGCGGCACATGACTGGGCCACGTTGGTTCCCTACCAAGTCCCAGTCAGTGCTTAAAACACAACATATTAAGTGAAACCGCACACTGATGAAAAATTAGTCTTAAACCTGCCACTTCATACACGATATTCGATGAACCTGAAGAAAGAAGCAAAGGGATGAAAGGAAAGAACCAAGAAGACTGAGAGGAAGAAAGAGAGAGGAAAAAAAATATAAACACCGTCACACCCAAGATAGCTCGTCTGATGCCTAACTAAGAGTGCTTGAGGGTTTCCAACAGGAAGTCTCAAGCACTCTGGGAGAACTTTCTCTGTACTTGGGTGTGTGGTCCGAAGGTGATCAGAGTGGATCACTGCTTTAGCAACGACTTGACGTCTTGCTTTTCTCTTGAAATTCCGTCATCTGTCTTTCGGCTATCCGTGAACTTGCTCTCTTGGGAGACCTTCACTCTCGTACCAGACCAGAAGTTTATGGTGCTGTCAGCCACTTACCAGGATTGAACTGACGACCTCCTGCTTACAAAGCAGACGCTCTGCCACTAAGCTAAAGTGGCACATAGAGTGAGTACATAAATTAATAATCTTCCTGTATCCTTTGCGGAGTGAGCAAACCTGCTCCTGCTTCTCGTACCAGACCAGATATTTATGGTGTTATAAGCCACTTACCAGAATCGAACTGACGACCTACTGCTTTCAAAGCAGACGTTCTGCCACTAAGCTAAAGTGACACACCAAATAACTGCATAAATCAATAATCTTCCTGTATCCTTTGCGGAGTGAGCAAACCTGCTCCTGCTCCTCATACCCGACTAGAGCCTAATGCTGCTGTAAGCCACTTGCCAGGATTGAACTGATGACCTTCTGCTTACGAAGCAGACGCTCTACCACTAAGCTAAAGTGGCACACACACTAACTATATGAATCAATAATTTTCCTGTCCCCTTCACAGAATGGGCCATCCTGCTCCTGCTTCTCGTACCAGACCAGAAATTTATGGTGCTATAAGCCACTTGCCAGGATTGGACTGACGACTTTCTGCTCACAGAGCCGACGCTCTGCCACTAAGCTAAAGTGACGCAGAGAATAAGTACATAAATCAATAATCTTTCTGTATCCTTTGCGGAGTGAGCAGACCTGCTCCTGCTTCTCATACCCGACTAGAGCATAATGCAGCTGTAAGCCACTTGCCAGGATTGAACTGACGACCTTCTGCTTACAAAGCAGACGCTCTGCCACTAAGCTAAAGTGACGCACAGAATAAGTACATAAATCGATAATCTTTCTGTATCCTTTGCGGAGTGAGCTGACCTGCTCCTGCTTCCCGCATCAGACCAGAGATTTATGGTGCTATCAGCCACTTGCCAGGATTGAACTGACGACCTTCTGCTTACAAAGCAGACGCTCTGCCACTAAGCTAAAGTGGCACATAGAGTGATTACATAAATTAATAATCTTCCTGTATCCTTTGCGGAGTGAGCAAACCTTCTCCTGCTTCTCGTACCAGACCAGAAATTTATGGTGCTATAAGCCACTTGCCAGGAGTGAACTGACGACCTCCTGCTTACTAAGCAGACGCTCGACCACTAAGCTAAAGTTGCACACAAAATAAGTGCATAAATCAATAATCTTCCTGTATCCTTTGCGGAGTGAGCAAACCTGCTCCTGCTCCTCATACCCGACTAGAGCTTAATGCTGCTGTAAGCCACTTGCCAGGATTGAACTGACGACCTTCTGCTTACGAAGCAGACGCTCTACCACTAAGCTAAAGTGACGCACAGATTAAGTATATGAATCAATAATTTTCCTGTCCCGTTCACAAAATGGGCCATCCTGCTCCTGGTTCTCGTACCAGACCAGAAATTTATGGTGCTATAAACCATTTGCCAGGATTGAACTGACGACCTTCTGCTTACAGAGCAGACGCTCTGCCACTAAGCTAAAGTGGTACACAAAATGAATGCATAAATCAATAATCTTTCTGTATCCTTTGCGGAGTGAGCAAACCTGCTCCTGCTCCTCATACCCGACTAGAGCCTAATGCTGCTGTAAGCCACTTGCCAGGATTGAACTGACGACCTTCTGCTTACGAAGCAGACGCTCTACCACTAAGCTAAAGTGGCACACACAGTAACTATATGAATCAATAATTTTCCTGTCCCCTTCACAGAATGGGCCATCCTGCTCCTGCTTCTCGTACCAGACCAGAAATTTATGGTGCTATAAGCCACTTGTCAGGATTGGACTGACGACCTTCAGCTCACAGAGCCGACGCTCTGCCACTAAGCTAAAGTGACGCAGAGAATAAGTACATAAATCAACAATCTTTCTGTATCCTTTGCGGAGTGAGCAAACCTGCTCCTGCTCCTCATACCCGACTAGAGCCTAATGCTGCTGTAAGCCACTTGCCAGGATTGAATTGACGGCCTTCTGCTTACGAAGCAGACGCTCTACCACTAAGCTAAAGTTGCGCACAGATTAAGTATATGAATCAATAATTTTCCTGTATCCTTTGCGGAGTGAGCAAACCTGCTCCTGCTTCTCGTACCAGACCAGATATTTATGGTGTTATAAGCCACTTACCAGGATCGAACTGACCACCTTCTGCTCTCAAAGCAGACGTTCTGCCACTAAGCTAAAGTGACACACCAGATAACTGCATAAATCAATAATCTTCCTGTATCCTTTGCGGAGTGAGCAAACCTGCTCCTGCTCCTCATACCCGACTAGAGCCTAATGCTGCTGTAAGCCACTTGCCAGGATTGAACTGACGACCTTCTGCTTACGAAGCAGACGCTCTACCACTAAGCTAAAGTGGCACACACACTAACTATATGAATCAATAATTTTCCTGTCCCCTTCACAGAATGGGCCATCCTGCTCCTGCTTCTCGTACCAGACCAGAAATTTATGGTGCTATAAGCCACTTGTCAGGATTGGACTGACGACCTTCTGCTCATAGAGCCGACGCTCTGCCACTAAGCTAAAGTGACGCAGAGAATAAGTACATAAATCAATAATCTTTCTGTATCCTTTGCGGAGTGAGCAGACCTGCTCCTGCTTCTCATACCCGACTAGACCCTAATGCTGCTGTAAGCCCGTTGCCAGGATTAAACTGACGACCTTCTGCTTTCGAAGCAGACGCTCTACCACTAAGCTAAAGTGACGCACAGATTAAGTATATGAATCAATAATTTTCCTGTCCCGTTCACAGAATGGGCCATCCTGCTCCTGGTTCTCGTACCAGACCAGAAATTTATGGTGCTATAAGCCACTTGCCAGGATTGAACTGACGACCTTCTGCTTACGAAGCAGACGCTCTACCACTAAGCTAAAGTGGCGCGCAGATTAAGTATATGAATCAATAATTTTCCTGTCCCGTTCACAGAATGGGCCATCCTGCTCCTGGTTCTCGTACCAGACCAAAAATTTATGGTGCTATAAGCCACTTGCCAGGATTGACCTGACGACCTTCTGCTTACAAAGCAGACGCTCTGCCACTAAGCTAAAGTGGCACACAAAATAATTGCATAAATCAATAATCTTCCTGTATCCTTTGCGGAGTGAGCTGACATGCTCCTGCTTCCCGTATCAGACCAGA